CAAGAAATTCACAAAATAATGCGATTATGTAAAAAAAAAAAAAGAAAAAAAAACACTACGAATGAATGGGATTTTAAGTTGAGTGCTCGGATACGGAAGAAAGAAGAAGCGGATAAGAAAAAGGCGAGTGGAAAGGAAAAGAGAAAACACGACGTCCCGGCGAGCGGAGAAAGACGGAAAATAAGTCGAGGCGGCATGAAGTGCGAACGGAAAGGATCGGATCAAGTGAATGAGTGAGAATTGAAGGCCACAGCTGGAATGGAAGCTGCGGCCTTCAAGAACCTCAACCCCTGTGAAAATCAATGTGAGCCGCTGTGGTCTCGCTACTAACCGTTCTGATAACGTAAAACTCTTCTTTATCCTCCCGTCCCCACTGTGTATCTAAAAATACGTGTGTCTCTTTACGCGAACGCAAAGTTCCGCCGAACGGCCGCGGTCCTATATACAGGGAAAGTCAAACATTTTCTGAAGATTTCTGAACGCTGTGCGTAAATGATACGCACGAGATACCATTTAGATTCTCAGAAGATATCGATACAGGATAAATATGCTAACAAAGTATTTGTCGTTATCTCCGTACATCAGAAATAAATTAATAAAAATTAATTCTTAATGAAAAAAGAATAATATAAAACACATTTAAGTTACAGTAATAACAAAACAGGATTAATATGATAATTCTTGTTTTCTAAGAGTTCCGTATCTCTCCCTCGCAAGACTTTAAAGATTGATATTACAGTAGAGATAACAGAGATAATACATTAATAATATATTTGAATATATATTTCTCAATTGAGGATGAATTTATATTAATCATATAATTTAGCAAATTTTCTTTCTCGCTCTTTTATGTTAATTTTTTTGTATGATCTAAATTTTCCTCAGCGATTCAAGTGACGGTTCGCAAAGTCCTAGACAGCATAAATGTCTAAAGGATGATATATCTCGCGAAGTCCCGAATAGACTAGCTTACTGCGCGTTTTAGACTGATGCAAATATATTGTTAATTAGTACTTAAGACGCGGTACTGATACAAGCATATTTTATGTCGACATTGCGACAGTTCAAAATATATGTCACACATAAATATAACGTAATTATGTATAACGTCGAGATTGAGATATCAAAGAATATCTCTCCATATAAAAATATAACTCCGCTTTTAAATTTCTACATTTCGCAAAATGTGTATACAACAATCCCATATTAGCATCAGGAGTAACGATAGTGTAAATTAGTCGAATCGTATGCTCATTATCCACCTGGCGATTATGCACAATTACCGCACTTTGCGGCCTATGTAAATGCAATTGTGATCTGTCGTACTTCTCTAATACGATCGCATAATTGATGGATTGAATGTAGTTAATTATTGCCAACCTCCACTACCAGCATAATGTACCTTCGCTAGCAATTAGTTAATTATGACAACGTGCTATAAATCGACAGTTCCGCGTCGCGAGAGATTATTAAAGGCATTCAAATCCAGATAAATCTAACTGTCAATTTAAGTATTATATAGAGTTATCGCGTTTTAACGATACGCGTCAGATGTTCATTAATTCGCGCATTTCCCTTTGACATCGAACAAAAGCTTAGCTTTTCTGATCAAACGATGTAAATTTGCTTCGCTATAATTCTAATTATCACGCAATCTCGCACAAAATTATAATTTGAAAAATCTCTTCCAACCGTTTTAATTAACGATAACTTTTTTTTAAACCTAAAACTCGCAAAAATTATTAATTACTAATTAGTGTAATTTTCCCACGCTTATATAATGCATTACGCACAATAAAATGCTGTATGTCCGCTGTTCCCCTTTCCTCCCTCTCCCTCGTATATGAAGCATCCAAAATTTCCTCATAATCCCAATATAACGAAGTGGCCATTTTATAGACGGATGGAAAAACAAAACGCACGCACTGATATATTCCGGCAAGTTGATGTAGTCGTGAGATGTACAATTAGCATATGATAAGCACGGCACGAGCTATTTACACGTCATAAAATCGCATTGTTGCATATTTGTCTACGCATACGCAAATAATTGTCCGTAATAAAACGCGTCTACTCTCCCAAAATGCTGAAAAAAAATGTTAACAATAAGTCGTACATTTCCGCGTTTGCTATGCAAATGTTTTTGTTCTTGTCGAAAGGAGAGGAGGAAAAACGAGACGCGCGTAGTGACTGTTGTGTTTGCTCCCATGGCCGAGACATTTTTAATCAGGCGCTCAGTTATTTCTGAGAATTTCGCGAATTTACCTTATATTACGGAGACGTTTAATTAAGAGGTCGCGAACGTTGATTGGTATGCGCCGGCTAAAAATAGTTCCAGGAAAATTAGCGACAATATACACATAAACCGATGTTTAACAAAAGAGCGAACTGTTTGAAAGCAGACATATGTATGCGACTTTTTACCTAAACTCAATTGTATGCGTTTTCGAGGAATTGCATTTTTGATGTCGTTGAATAAATAAATGCAGTAAATTGGTAAGGAAACAACTGCATACTTTGTGGAAGTAGTTTTATAGATTACTGAAATGCAAAGTTCCAAACTAAGTTTCTCTCTACAGAGTTATGGGAGTTTATTATTTAATAATTATTTAGCGAGATCGCGCAAGCTCCATGGAAAAATTCAATTTAAAACTTCGTATTTTAGAAATCTATTAAGTTTCTTCCGACAAGCATACAGTAATTTTCGTAGCGCAGTTCAGGAATTACAAGATAGGAGTTTTCGGACTTATTTAGAGCTATATAAGAATAGTGCAGGAATAATTTATGTAACTCTTCTCTGCCTCACAGCAAAGAATCAAATATTTTTACGAAAATCTGGTATTTTCTTAGAAATTTTGATCCCATCTTCTTCTTTTATTGTGATTATACTTAAACTTTTTTTTTTAAGCATGATTTTTAGCGTGACGTTATGTGTGTAATCAAAAGTTAAGAATATCAGAGAAGTACAAGGCGGATATTTTGTGAATAGCAAAAGGATATGATATCGATTCTACGAGATTGTTGAATTATACTTTGTATTGAGAAAGAGTAAGC